GGATACAATGGAAAGGAAAAGAAAAAGGTTTACTAAACTATTTTGTTTGTCAGCAGTTATGGATTCAAAAAATTGTCAATCAAATGTAGAAATGGGAACACTGGAGTAAGTCAGAAGTGCACTATAGCACTAGGACTACCCTAAATTACTAAAGTTAATGCAGTGGCATATGGTAGTAACAAGAAGTCAGTGTCATGTTGTCCTTCCTCCCATGCACCCAGGGCTGTAGCCCCGGGGAGGAGGGGAGTTAGGTATTCAACCTCCCCTCCCCAATTTTTCAGGTTAAAAAAAACACCTGGTTTACTCATTAATTTTAAATGGTTAACCAACTCCCCATGCTAAGTCTATGAGAAGTAAAAATTAAACAAGTCCCTCCAGAACTGCAAGCACTACCTCAAGCAAATTTTGACAATTTATTCACATTGCCATTACTTGCAGCAATAGCAGATATAGTGGAAGCAACCAAGTTGGCCCACCCATAACTGGCAGGCAAAGCCTAAGCAATGGTGGTGGTGGTGGGGATTTGAAGGCCCTCATGAAGGAGATCAGACTTGGTGGGGGCAGTTGACAGGGGCGGAGTTGCAGGATATTTAAGGCTGCTCTGCCCCCCTGCTGTGCTCTTTTCTTCAGCATGAAATAGGAGGCAGGTTACTAATCGGGAATTAGGCCTTTCCTTCCCTGCTCTCCCATTTCCTTTTTCCAAATGATAGGGTTCCCATAGCTATGCCTATATATAGGTTGTTTTCAACTTAAATATTTGAAAACCTATGTACATAAGAAGCACAATGGGTGCAAGAAAGACTGACTGGACTTGCACTCTTGAGTGTCTACCAAAGTTTATCAATGGAGCCTGACTTCTGTCAAAGTGTACTTACTTAGGCGATCCCTCGTTGTCCAAGTAAGATTGTCCTCCAAGTGCGTGGGTACGGTGTCCCCACGCTGGTGGTGGGTACGGTGTCCTGGTGGTGGGTTGACTGTGGAGCCCTATTCTTGACCTGCATGTTCTCCCGCAGTGAGGGCATCAGTTTCCAGGTGGAAGGCGGTCCCGATTGGGGTTGGCTTGACATGCCTTCCTCTTGTCATGTTTCTCTTTCACCCTCCATCCGTGCCTCTTCAAATTCTACAGCACTGCTGGTCTCAGCTGAGCTCAAGGGCCAGGGCTTCCCAGTTCTCGGTTGGCTTTGAGCCCATCTTTAAATCTCTTTTCCTGTCCTCCAACATTCCATTTTCTGTTCTTTAGTTCGGAGTAGAGCAACTGCTTTGGGTGACGGTGATCAGGCATTTGGACAACGTGGCCAGTCCAGCAGGGTTGATGGCGGAGGACCATTGCTTCAATGCTGGTGGTCTTTGCTTCTTCCAGCATGCTGACATTTGTCCGCCTTTCTTCCCAATATATTTTTCGGAGGCAACGCTGATGGAATTGTTCCAGGAGTTGCATGTGACATGTTTTGCAGGCATATAGCAGGGTTGGGAGGACAATAGCTTTATAAACATGCTCCTTGGTATCCCTACGGATGTCCATGTCCTCAAACACTCTGTGCTTCATTCGAAAAAATGCTGCACTCACAGAGCTCAGGCAGTGTTGTATTTCAGTGTCAATGTTGACTTTTGTGGAGAGGTGGCTGCCAAGGTAGCGGAAATTATCAACATTTTCTAATATTACACCATTAAGCTGTATTTCTGGCTTTGGAGATGGGTTGGTTGGTGACTGCTGGAAGAGAACTTTGGTTTGCTCGATGTTAAATGATAGACYGAGCTTCTCATATGCTTCTGCAAAGGTGTTTAGAGTGGCTTGTAGGTCTTCTTCTGAATGCGCACAGACAATGTTGTCATCATCATATTGGAGTTCTATAACAGACGTTGTTGTGACCTTAGTTTTGGCTTTCAGTCAAAATGTATTGACACAGTTTTCATGTGTTTCCAACAGACATTGTGATATTCTTTTGTAACTATAAATTACCAATTAAAAGTCATTTTCAGTTATTTTAAGATTTGAAATTTTGTAACTAAAATAAAAGATAGATTTAATTAAGTCTATATAAAATATGGACTGAACCATACTATTTAAATTATTTTGTTATGAAATTACTCTTCATAATTTGCTAAAAAAAGTTTCAAACCCCCCCCCCTTTTTTTTTTTCTGGTTATGGCCCTGCATGCACCTTAGAGTATTTTGGCTGGATCATCAGAAAAACTTTAGCCACACTTAGAAAACCTAGTAAAGCTGCAGAAATAAAGATGATTGTGATAGCAATGCTTTTTACATCCCAGTGTTTGGCCACCCCCATTTATTAGTAACTTCCTCTTTCTATTTCCCAAAAGCACTATCACCTCTTCACAGGCAGGAGGTGGAGAGAGAGCTGTTTGAGCAAGGAGGTAGCTAGCAGAATGCAGATATAGTAAGTTGTGTGCCTTTAAGTTTCTGACTTATGATGACCCTAAAGAGAACGCATCTCAAGTGAAGAGTGTGATTTGGTCACCTAGTGTGTTTCCATGGCTGTGCAATGATTCAAATCCTTGCCTCCAGAGTCACAGGGAATATATTGCAGGAGGTCTGTGAGCTTGAATTGAAAATTGAAAAAAAATCAACATATTATCTTTATCTTTTCTGAGCATTAACTGAAATTCCCTTCCCTTATAAATGAGTACAATAAATGTTCCATTATTACAGTTGTATTCAGATATATAAACCTTACTTGCCTAGTTTCCAGCAGACTAAACAACCCCTGAGGATGCCTGCCATAGAAGTGGGTGAAACGTCAGGAGAGAATGCTTCTGGAACATGGCCATACAGCCCAGAAAACTCACAGCAACTCAGTGATTCTGGCCATGAAAGCCTTCGACAACACATAAAATGTGTATTATTTCTTGAATTGGGGAAGAAACACCCAGCATTGCATGCAGATCATGGATAGGGAGTGCCTCATTTCGATCATAGGGCAAGAAGAGCTCAGTTGTGTTGCCAAGAAACTGTGTAGCTCTGCAACAAACTTCTTAACCTGGATGTAAAGACATTGCGAAATCACATTGCAGTCTGCTGTTGGAAGCTATACCATCAGTGGAATGGGTGTTACATGAATATCTTTAACAATGTCATTAGGAAGAACTTTCTGACTGTAAAGTGGAATTCAACAATGAAACTTGGAATGCTCCTTCTTTGGGGGCTTTTAAACAGAGGCTAGAGATAGCCATCTGTGGGGGGTGCTTTGATTGTGTTTTTTCTGCATGGTAGGGATTTGGACTGGGTGGCCATTGAGGTCTCTTCCAACTCTATGAGTATGGGTTGCTGTGAGTTTTTTGAGTTGTATGGCCATGTTCCAGAAGCATTCTCTCCTGACATTTCACCCTCTTCTATGGCAAGCATCCTCAGAGGTTGCGAGGTCTGTTGGAAACTAGGCAAGTGAGGTTTATATGTCTGTGGAATGTCCAGGGTGGGAGAAAGAACTCATGTCTGCTTGAGGCAGATGTGAATGTTGCAATTAATCACCTTGATTGGCATTTTAATGGCCATGTAACTTCAAGGCCTGGCTGATTCCTGGCTGGTGAAATCCTTTGTTGGGAAGTATTAGCTGGCCCTGATTGTTTAATGTCTGGAATTAGAATTGATGACTTTGTGAGCCATCTGTCGGGGATGCTTTGAATGCGGTTTTCCTGCTTCTTGGAAGGGGTTGGACTGGATGGCCCACGAGGTCTTTTCCAACTCAATGATTCTATGATGCTATGATTCTATTGTGTTTCTCCTGCATGGCTGGCTTTGGACTGGGTGGCCATTGAGGTCTCTTCTGATGAGTCCTTCTGAATGCTCTGAGTCCTTCTGATTCAATGAGTCCTTCTGAATGTATGTTGCCTGTCCAAAAGTGGTGCCCCCAGTCACAGAAAGCACTGGAGTACCTCACCCAACACTTTGAGGACCAACACTTTCAGCATGGAAGGCTAAAGACCTTGTAAGACTGCAACTCCCTGGATTCTGTAGCATGGAGAAGGTATCAAACTGCATTCATTCCACAGTGTAGATGCACCTCAGAAAGCCCACTAGGGCAAGAGCTTTAGATCAGTGTTTCTCAACCTGGGAGTCGGGACATCTGGGGGTTGCAAGGGGAGTCAAAGGGGTCACCAAAGACCATCAGAAAACACCGTTTTTCTTGTTGCTCATGGGGGTTCGGTGTGGGAAGTTTGGCCCAATTCTATGGTTGGTGGGGTTCAKAATGCTCTTTGATTGTAGGTGAACTATAAATCCCAGACATCACAACTCTCAAATGTCAAGGTCTTTTTCCTCTGAACTCCCACCAGTGTTCATATTTGGGCATATTGAGTATTAATGCCAAGTTTGGTCCAGATCCATCATTGTTTGAGTCCACAGTTCTCTCTGAATGTAGGTGAACTACAACTCCCAAGCTCAAAGTCAATGCCCACCAAACCCTTCCAGTATTTTCTGTTGGTCATGGGAGTTCTGTGTGCCAAGTTTGGTTCAATTCCATTGCTGATGGAGTCGGAATGTGCTCTGATTGTAGGTGAACTATAAATCCCAGCACTACTACTCCCAAAATGACAAAATTAATCCCTCTCCTAACCCCACCAGTATTCAAATTTGGGTATATTGGGCATTTGTGCCAAATTTAGTCCAGTGAATGAAAATACATCCTGTATATCAGATATTTCCATTACGATTCATAACAGGAGCAAAATTATGAAGTAACAATGAAACTAATGTTATGGTTGGGGGTCACCACAACATGAGGGACTGTATTAAGGGGTCACGGCATTAGGAAGGTTGAGAAAGCCTTCTTTCGAGAGAGAGAGAGAGAGAGAGAGAGAGAGAGGCGAGCTCTCCCTGCCTGACTCACCGAGGAAGGGCTGAAGCAAGAGCCCCCGCCCACGCCCCGAGGAGAGCCCTGTCTGTGGGGCTTGAGCGCCCACGTGCCTGCCCCTCTCTCCCCTCCTTTCTCTCCCCGAGGCAGGAAACGGTGGAGCAAGCCCTCTGTTTCCAAGGCTGAGCGGCAGGCTGGGCTTCCTGCGCCCCTAGCCAAGCCCCTGGCTTCGTCTTCTTCTTACTCCCTCCCAGCCGGGCGCACCTTTCCATTCCCCCCCCCACCCCACCCTCTTGTCGCTTGGAGGAGTTGCACAAGCCGCCCCTTTCCTCCAAACTCTCCTCCTCCTCCTTCCTCCCCAGCGAGAAGACTCCGGAGTCGGCGAGGCGTTGCTGCCCACCGGGATCCCTCTCTTTCCTGCGGTGCCTTTCCCTCCACGGGGTACACAGTGAGTAACTTGGTTTCTAAGGAGGTGGCGGGGGGGAGCCTCAAGGAGAGAAAGAGCAGGGTCCTGGGGAGGAGGAGCAGGAGGCAGATGTGTGGGGGCTGCCTCTGTTTGTGTGTCGACTTTCTAAGGGAGGGAGGAGCCCTTCCCGACCCTTTTGCTCGCGCTCTCCCCCCCAAAGGGACTCCCTTGTGTTTTGTTTTGGGCTCCAGCTACGCTGTTAGAATGAGTGCAGTTGGGCACCGCTCTCCCTGCCAGGGCTCCATGCTATGCCATCCTAGCCTTCGGTGAGGCACCAGCACTCTTGGACAGAGAAGGCTAAAGACCTTGCAAAACTACTACTCCCATGGCGTTGAGCCATGGCTGTTTAAGTCAGTGTTTCTCAACCTTCTTCCTAATGCCCCGACCCTTTAATACAGTTCCTCCTGTTGTGGTGACCCCCAACCATAACATTATTTTCATTGTTACTTCATAATTTTGATACTGTTATGAATCGTAATGGAAATATCTGATATACAGGATGTGTTTTCATTCACTGGACTAAATTTGGCACAAATACCCGATACACCCAAATTTGAATACTGGTGAGGTTAAGAGAGGGATTATTTTTGTCATTTGGGAGTTGTAGTTGCTGGGATTTATACTGTAGTTCACTTTTAATCAGAGAGCATTCAGAACCCAATCAGCAATGGAGTTGAACCAAACTTGGCACACAGAACTCCCATGACCAACAGAAAATACTGGAAGGGTTTGGTGGGCATTGACCTTGAGTTTGGCAGTTGTAGTTCACCTACATCCAGAGAGCACTCTGGACTCAAACAGTGATGGATCTGGACCAAACTTGGCATTAATACTCAATATGCCCAAATGTGAACGCTGGTGGGAGTTTGGGGTAAATAGATCCTGACATTTGGGACTTGTGGCTGGGATTTATAGTTTACCTACAATCAAAGAACATTCTGAACCCCCACCAATGATAGAATTGGGCCAAACTTCAAACACAGAACCCCCATGGCCAACAAAAAATACTCTGACACCCCCTCGCGACCCCCCAGGCGTCCCGACCCCCAGGTTGAGAAACGCTGATTTAAGTGGTATTCAACTGCAGTGTAGATCAAGTATGGGCAAGTATCGGCCCTCTAGGTGTTTGGACTCCAGCTCCCACAATTCCTAACAGCCTGCCTAATTCCTGCCTGGAGGAATCCTTTGTTGAGAGCTGTTAGGGAACATGAAAGGATTGGGAAGAGACTCCAATGGCCACCCAGTCCAAACTTCTGCCATGCAGGAGAAACACAAACAAAGCACTCCTGACAGATGGCTGTCTAGCCCCTGCTTAAAACCCTCCAAAGAAGATGCATCCTCCAGTTTCCAATTTTCATTATTGCAAAACTTCTACTCCCATAGTTCCATGGCATTGAGCTGTGGCAGTTTCAGTGATGTCCAACTGCACTCATTCTGCAGTGTAGATCAGGAACGGGCAAACTTGGGCCCTCCAGGTGTTTTGGACACCTACTCCCACAATTCCTAACTGCCTGGCTGATAACTGCATGGGGGAATCCTTTGTTGGGAGGTGTTAGGGAACATGAAAGTCACTGCAGACTAATGCGACCAGAAAAGTCAGTCATAGCAGAGCACCTGATGAACCAACCTGGACACAGCATATTATTTGAGAATCCAGAAAAGGTGGACCACTCTAACCACCATGTCAGACTACACAGAGAAGCTACTGTAATCCACAAGCATGTGGACATTTTCGACAGAAAGGAGGAAACTATGAAAAGGAACAAAATCTGGCTACTAGTCCAAAACACCTGGAGGACCCAAGTTTGCCCATACTTGGTATAGAAGCACCCTTTAGCTTCACCTATACTTCCCTTTCTGTAGGTGGGAGTTTTCTGTCTTCAAAAGAGTGCAGGCTGAATTCCCTTGTTTGAAATGATTGGATTTTGGATTGTGGAAAACACGTATTTGGCCCCGTCTCTCTGACCATTTACCGCATTGAACGAAAGAAAGCCCTTAATGTGCATCAGTGTTATGTCATTGCCACCTAGGCCTCAAACTGGTTCCAGAATGTCCTGTGTAATCATCTGCAAACCCCCTTTCTTCAGTACTGCTTTGAAACTGCATTAAATGGTCATTGGAGACGGGGTCTTTGTTTATAAGTCTTTAATGAGAACTTGGAGATGGCACCCAACTTTAAAAACAAAAATCATTTACCTTTCATGTAGACATTATAGAACTGATATGGACAAACTTTGGCCCTCCAGATGTTTTGGACTCCAGCTCCCACAATTCCTAAGATCTGGTAAGCTGTTTGGAATTGTGGGAATTGGATTCCAAAACACCTGGAGGGCTGAAGTTTGCCTATGCTTGTCATAGGTGTAGCCAGAAAGTAGTTTCATACGCAGTATTTTGAATAATACAGTGCATGAAATAAAAATTTGGGTATCTTGAATCATCAGTAACCATAATTGTCACTTTCTCAGACACTCATTTTGGATTCTGGAGTACTTCGGATTTTGGAATTCCTGGAAAAGGGATGTTCAATCTGTATTTCCACCTTGCAACTTTGGGCCAGTGGCATCAAAGCAACACAGCGATATCTTGAAATTCTGCAAACCTCATGGATGACTGAGTTAGTGACACCTTTGTTTGCTGATGCTTCGATATACACCAACTTTACTTCATTACGAAATTGTTAAAATGTTGTGTAGAAAGCATGTAGACATTTACTAATTGTATGTTACTTTAAGACATTGAATTATTGCCGATATGTGAGGCCGCTCTGAGTCCCCCTCGGGGTTGAGAAGAGCAGGATACAAATAAAATAAACAAGTAAATAAATAGAAAGCTACCTTTAGGCTGTGTGTATAAGGTGCATATGAAACACCTTGTACACAAATCCTGAAGGTAACATCATACAATTTTGGATTATGGAATAATTTGATTTCCTGTTAAGGGATGTTCAGCCTGTAATCCAAAACCTAAAATCCAAAACATTCCTGTTTCCCAGCCTTTTGGATAAAGGACACTCAACCTGTCAAAGTAAACAACAGAAACAAATAATATTGGTGGCCATGACGAAATGTCCTATACTCTGAAACTCAGAAGCCCGTTTAATTTTGAGACAACATTTGGAAAACATTAGATAGGAGTGAGTGACGAATTTTTTCTTTCGGTAGAAATGTTCTGCTACCTGGGTGTTTAACAAACACTTTAAGAAGAAAGACAGAGTGTGCTACTATTCTTTTGGATTAATAATATGAAGACATCAGATCACATGCAATGTGACTAAGTTTCCAGTGAGCAATTGGGATTTCCATGTAGGAAGAAGTAGATCTTGACTAAAATTGGCATTTTTGGTTCCCAAAGCTACCCCCAAGGAACATAGTCTGCTAAAGATTTCTGTGTCAGGTTATGTGGAAATGGAGTTGTATTTCTGTTTGGCAAACCTGCAAGCTAGCATCCCAGGTGCATATTCACTTCCACTCTGTTCCTTTTCCTGGACCTTAACTGAACTTATTTTGTAGAGTCCTAAAAAAAAACAAACAGCCTTCCTGAACTGCACTTTCTTGTCTGTTTCTTCTCCTTGGAAACTAATGAAGGAAGACATACGTTCTAGAAGTCAATCTAAGCTTCAAGTCTTTGTGTGGTATTACACACCTAGATATTTAAATATTACATGTAAATGGAAATTCCATTGTAAGAGCAAATGAAAATTTAAAGCCTTGGGACTATTACTTTCTTTCCATTTATTCAGAGGAATTAAAAAAAGCTCTCATACTTATGTACTATATAATTAACATAAATTATAGCTTGTATGAATTTGTGTGTGTGAATGAAAAGATGCAGACAGATTTCTTCATTATTTTCTTTTTAATGAACTTAAATATGAGTTAACTGACTCCCCCTCCCCCCGGCTTATACTCAAGTCAAAGTTATTTATTATTTTACTCTGTTGTTATTGTTATTATTGTTATTATTATTACATTTATTATTTTACTCTATTATTGTTACATTAACATTATTTTACTCTATTATTTTATTACATTTACTATTTTCACTATTATATTTATTATTTTTCTCTATTGTTATTATATTTATTAGGCTTGGGTAACTACGGAAAAATTTGGTTCTAAACTCGTTTCATTTTTAGGGGAGCCCTTCCGTTTTGTTTTTTTAAAGAATTCCGAAATTTTCCTTTTAAAAAGTTCAAAATATACGAAATTTTGTAAAATTACGAATCGATTCGTTAATGGCGGACGCGATTGCGCAATATGCTAAAAAACCCTCCAAATGGGACAGGGGGAACTTCTGAAGCTTCCCTCTCCCTCTGTTGTTGACTGTTGGTGTAATAATTTATTTTTTATCACTGATAAAACAAACAACAACTATAAAACTTGCACCAGACATACGGAAATAATTACGAAACAATTACGAAACAATTTTGAACCAATTACGAAACAATACGAAATAAATTGGAAAAATTGTTTCGATTTTTAATTACTCCTCACAGTAGTCCTGCATGGCTCAATATTGGATTGTAAACTAATTTAAATACGAATTAATAACGAATTACGAAATTAACGAATGAAACCGCCCAAGCCTAATATTTATTATTTAACTCTATTATTTTATTATTACATTTATTCTTTTACTTTCTTTATTATTATTGGAAGGATCCATAAGCACATTTACATTAGAGAAGGTTAGAATAATGGTTTAATCAGAGTTGGACAGTTTTATCTTAAATTATAGTTTTATATAAATATTCAAAAACAGTTACCCTACTGATGCCTCAATGTAGTTTTATTGGTATCTATTTTTATTTTGAAACTTGGGTGGGTGCATTTCCCACCCTTGGTTTATACTCAAGTCAATATGTTTTCCCAGTTTTTTTGTGGTAAAATTAGGTGCTTCGGCTTATATTGGGGTCAGTTTATGTTCGAGTATATACGGTAATTACTAATCTTCTGAGAGTAGTTCAAACTCAGTTTGCCTTA